ATCCATCCATGCATCCATTCAAACATCCATCCATCCAAACATCCATCCATGCATCCATTCAAACATCAATCCATCCATCCATCCAAACATCCATCCATCCAAACATCCATCCATCCAAACATCCATCTATCCATCCAAAAATCCATCCATGCATCCATTCAAACATCTATCCATCCAAACATCCATCCATCTCTCTGACTGTGGACTCACAGTTTTGTGAGCGAGCTCGTCGTTCAGCTGTTCATTGCAGCGGTTCTTATTCTCCACCTCCTGACTCTTGTGGTCGTAGTTGACAGCCAGCTCCTCCAGCGCCTGCAACACCTCCTTCACCTCCTCTTTAGCTGAATCGCTTTCCCTCTGCAGGCGGGACAGCTCCTCCTGCAGCCGCTCATAGTCTTGGCGGATAGATGCCAGCAGCTGGTGGAGAGCTATTGATTAACCTGTGATCCATCGATCAGTGGATAGTATGGAATGTAACACTCAGGTGAGACTCACCTCATCCTGGTCGATCAGCTGCTGTTTGAGTTTCTCAGACATCTGACTCTGCTGGTTGATCTCATCATCCTAAACATCAATCAGACAGAGTTTAATGATTTAAACATGTCTTCCAGCTAGTTACCACAGCAGGTGTTAAGAAGACTGACTGTACAAAACCAGACAAGATCTGGCCCATCCATGCAACTTGTGACAACAGATAATTTCACACACTATCCAGAAGACACTGCGTGCTTTCCGGGGTTACTGCACATGCTGGAATTTTGGCGTGGACTGTCCATTGATCCCTTGCCATTTTACTGTTACCTTGTTAAAATAAAACCCTATCATCTCATATTTCCCGATGGGAAAATGGGCTTACTCATCAAATACTGAATTTTGGGTGTGTGGGATCCAAAGACAAATAATTATGACCACTATAACCTAGAAGTGGAGAGGATGTTTTGACCCGGCATAAATTATCCACTACAGAGGGACTCCGGGTTGCCTAGCAACACAATTATTGACATACATTTTGATGTAAAAGCTGCTTTAACATGACTAAGCACTAGCTATTTGTGACTGATCAATAAATATGTAGGTGATGGTGACAGGGTGGGTCAGAGCGGGAGTCTATGACCGAAGGGGTGCAGAGCAGCAGAGGAATGGCAGCTGAACTAATCAGAGAATCCAGAGTGTTTAGAACTACCTGGAGAAAATAATGAATGAAATCCGGGTTAGAAAAGCAGAATCAGACTTTGACTGTTCTACTTTTACAGTAATTATTTATTGTTATTGTTACTAAGTGTTTCTTACTTTTTTGTAGCAGCGGTGAAGCCAGTTTTAAAATGCAGATGCTCATTGCCTAAGGGAAGCATGTATAATGTAAACAGAATTGGTCCTAGCACTGAACCCTGTGGAACTCCATAATTAACCTCAGTGTGTGAAGAGGACTCTCCA